CACAGAGGGAGGATCACAGGTGGGAGATGACCCAGAATTCAGGAAGCCTCAGGATTCAGTCCGTAGTTAACATACTTATTAATGAACGTGTTGTGTGTTGTTGCGCTGCGTGCGTGCTGCGTGCGCTGCCGCCCTGCGTGGCGTGTGTGTGCACGTGAGGCGGTTATATTCTACCTTATTCTAATTTTAATCTTCCCTTCTTTGAAAACAGATGGTCTGTCTTGGATGACAAAGAGTCTGTGGATGAGAGACAATGAAGTTGATGATCGATGCATCAGTAGGAAGATGTCCACTCTTCCCCGGTGGAGAACCTCACTCTTACCCAGACATGCCAGCCTTCTCAAATTCAGACAGTATCCATTCTCCTACGTACTCAAGATTGTTTTTCCTGAACCTTCTTGGAAGTAGTCTGTAAGCATCAACCAATATGCCATCTATGCAACCACAGCCGTCCTCCTACTGAAGCACTGGAGCATTTCAGGGTTCAGCGTTGTACACTCTGCTTTGGTTACCAGGCACTCGCATGTTTGGCGAAGCCCCGAGTTCCAGGGTGCCGACCCATGCACTAACAGTTCATCAATCCACTGCACCTTCACAACATCAGTCGAGACAAGGGGAAATTTGATCCCTCCACAAAATCTGACCCTGGTCTCATCTCGAGCTCGAAGCTGCAGACAATATGGATAAACAGTCAATGTATGACAGCTTCTGACAGACAACCACAACGCTGACGCAGGCACAAAGGGGATATGACGCCATTGATTATAGATTATTGATTGAATCAGCTACATATAGAACATAGCTCTAGAGTTTAAAGACGTTTTACAGATTAAAGCTTTAACAGAATAAAAACCAGAATCAGAATGAATCCGGCTCGAGCTCCAGACTGAACTCAAACTCTTGTTGTGTATTTGTCTCTTCAGGCTGCACGTGTCCTCGGTGCCGGAGTCTCTTCCCTGCAGAGAGCAGGAGTTCCAGGACATCTACAGCTTCGTGGAGAGCAAGATCATAGACGGCACCGGCGGGTGAGATCCAGATCCAGATCCAGAAGTTAGTCCCAGTGACGGGTTTAAAGGTTCAGTCTGATGTACTGTTGTTTGTGTTTCAGGTGTATGTATATCTCTGGTGTGCCGGGCACGGGTAAGACGGCCACGGTCCACGAGGTGATGCGCTGTCTGCAGCACGCCGCCGACGTGGACGAGATTCCTCCTTTCCACTTCATCGAGATCAACGGGATGAAGATGACGGATCCTCATCAGGCCTACGTCCAGATCCTGCAGGTGAGAGCACAGAGACCTGACCTCTGCAGGGAACAGTGTCTTCGTGCAGGACACACACTAACGTCAGGACGTGCTGATAAATGTGTCTGATCTCTGTGTTTTCTGGTTTCTCGTCTCTGCAGAAGCTGACGGGTCAGAAGGCCACCGCCGACCACGCAGCAGCTCTGCTGGAGAAGAGATTCAGCAACCCGGCACCCAGGAAGGAGACCACCGTCCTGCTGGTGGATGAAGTGAGAACTCTGTTTCTGATTGATCGGATTAGATTTAATTTAATTCATTAGCAGAAACAACAAAGTTAAAGTGGAAACACTTTATTTCCTACATGGTCTCAAAATGTTAGGAGACAAAAACAAACACAAAGAAACATAAACGTACTAAAAAAAAACACCTGAAATCCACGAAAATATAAACATGAAAAGAACGAAACCAAAATATTTAAAATCAGTTAAATAAAACCTTTTTTATTTTAATTTTATTATTTATTTTCAATTCTCAGGCCCAAAACAATGAGACAGAAATAATATGAAACTCAAAAAATATCTAATTTTACTGATTCAAGATGATTTACTCATTATGTAAATTAGTCATTATTTGTTCCATTAACATTATTATTATCTCATTATTATTATTATTATCTCTTATTATTATTATTATTATTATTTAATTATTAATTATTTGTTGTGAAATTGAATTGTATGTTTACTTTTAGTATTAGGAAATGTCTTGTTTTATCTGTTTATCTCTTCACCGTATGTCTGGTACATGTGAAGTAATTGGCATTAAAGTTGACTTTGATAATCCAGACTAACCTCTAACTAACCTTTAACTAACCTCTAACTAACCTCTAACTAACCTTTAACTAACCTCTAACTAACCTCTAACTAACCTCTAACTAACCCTTTGTGTCGTACAGTTGGACCTGTTGTGGACCAGGAAGCAGAACGTGATGTACAACCTGTTCGACTGGCCGACGCGGCGTCACGCCCGCCTCGTGGTGCTGACCATCGCCAACACCATGGACCTGCCGGAGAGGATCATGATCAACAGAGTGGCCAGCAGACTGGTGAGGGAGCTTCATGGGATCCACGGGGTCCTAAAACAAACGCACAAGAACTAGTTTTGAGTCTTTAAGGGAGGGTTGGTGTCGTATGTGGTACGGTGTTTCTATGCAGGGTCGTTAAATTGAGTGTAAATATCGAATTTTTGATTCATGCGACATCAATAAAACACAGCTTCATTTTTAGCAAAAGACTTGTTGTTAAGTTGTTTTAAAAATGTCGGTCTTCCGTAATGAAACCAAACCTCTTGAAGAGTAACGGACACAACCCGACGCTCCGTCTGTGTCCGCAGGGTCTGACCCGGATGTCGTTCCAGCCGTACAGCTTCAAGCAGCTGCAGCAGATCATCATGTCGAGGCTGAACAAGGTGAAGGCCTTCGAGGAGGACGCTCTCCAGCTGGTGTCCAGGAAGGTAAACGACCTTCTCACCTGACCTCAGAGTGGAGTCCCTCCCCTTCCTGTGTGAACGGTAGAGACTCGTGTTCCCTTTTCTGAATTATGGAGATACTTTGAACTCCTTGAGAACCTCCAACCTGCAGTGACTCCATGGACCTATGGTGACTCCTGCCCGCACATACATGCCCCATCTTCAACTATCTACCTCAG